TTTTATAATCATCATCATTATCATTATGTCATCAATAATATTAGTATTTTTATTTTAAATTTTTTAATCATCATCATCATCTTTATCATTATTAGTAGTGGTAGTAGTACCAATAATATTGTTACCATCACAACCACTACAATAATTACTAATATTATTATCACTACTAATTTTGTTATTGTTGTTATTATTATTACTATTATTATTATCACCACTATTATTAATAATATCATTACTATCATCATCATCATCGTTATTATTATTAACATCATTATCATTATCATTATTATTATTACCGTGACCATTATTTCAAATATTATTATTGTTGTTGATGATGATGATGATGTTGAAAAAAATAAAAATTATGAATTTGATTTGAAGGATAAAATTTAAAACTATAAAAAAATTAGATAAAAGAACCAAAAAAAAAATGGACCAAATTGAAATCATTATTATCATTGAAAAAAAATGATAAGCTTGGTTTGAAGGATAAACTAAAAAAATATAAATTTTTTGAAAAAATGACAAAGAAAAACAATAAAAAATTAAAAAGTAGAAGGACCGAATCAAAATATCTTATATGTACAAATTAAAAACCAAAGGTTAAATTGAAAAGAAATAAAACTTCAACAACAAAAAATAACTAAAAAACAACAATCAATACTAAAAGGTTTGAATTTAAAAAGAATAAAAGCAACGAGGACCATAATGTATTTACTTGTGTATAAGAAAGAAATTAAGGAAGGAAAAAAAAGGAAATGATCATTGACAATACACCGGTCACACTTAGAGCACATATATCTCATCTATAATAAAAGAGAAGATGGAGAGAAATCAACTAGGACAGCAAAAGATATTTTTTTATTGTTAAAAACTATCATAAACGTTGCAGAAAGTATGCAGTTGTCATGCCAACAACTTTTCAATAAAAAAATATTATCTTAAAGAGGAATTATGTTATCACACTCAACCAAACTTATAATTAATAACATAATCTAGGTTAAAAAATCCAAAGACCTCTAAATACAATGAACTAAATATCTTATATCCAAGGGTCCATATATAATTTTATTGTGTATAAAAAATTAAAAAATATTTAAATACACCTACCCCTGGACCACTAAATTTTTAACTTTTAAAGATATTTTAGTTATTTTACTATTCACAAAACATTGAATATATACAAATATTTCCAAACAAATTAGTAATAACTAACGTACCTAGTTGAAAAAACCTAAAATAACCCTGGTCTAACGGTATGTAATTTTTTATAGGAATAGAAAAATAGTCTTTACACTGTAGCAATGAACAATAAAATATAAAAGGAGCTACAATAAATCCTCATTCTATTTTAGTTATTTGTTAATATTACATATTATATAAGTTTGTGGATAAGCTATAAGATGGTATATTCAATAATAAATTGAGATCATTAATGAAATGATATGTCTTATTATTAAAAAGGATAAATAAAAATATTATCAATTTATTAAAAATTAAACACTTGTTTTTTTCTTGAGAGAATTATAAAAGGTTTGTTTTTAAAAAATGTGCATTTTAGTTGAAAGAATTACATTTTAAAAAAAAAGTTATAGAAGTCTCTATTTAATAAATTAAAACATTAATATAATGATATGTATTATTAGAAATATAAATAAAACTAATTCATATTTATTAAAAAATAAAAATCTATTTTTTCAAAACAAATAAACAAATTATTTAAAAAAACACCTATTTTGATTTAAAATATATTATTTTAATAGAAAATTTGTATAAGATTCTATTCAATAAATTAAAAGGCGTCTTATTAAAAATGATATATATTGAAAATAATTCTTATCTATTAAAAATTGAACACATGTTGATTGAGGAAATCCTAAAAGAGTTGTTTCAAAAAGACATGTATTTTGGATGAAAATGAACTTTTTGTGATAAGTTTATAGAAGATTTTATTCAATCAATTAACATCATTATGAAATGTCTTATTAAAAATAATAAATAAAAATAATTAAATATTGATTCACTGAGGAAACTCTAAAAGAGTTGTTTCTTAAAAATACATATTTTGATTGAAAATATACTTTTTTTAGAATATATATATATATATTAAAAATATTTTTTATTTAAAAATATATTGAAATAATATTTTTTTTATTTTTTAAAATTTATTTTTGATAATATCAGATTAAAAAAAATTAATTTTTATTAAAATATTTTTGAAATGTATATCCATGCAGCTAAAAATCATTTATAAATAGTTGTCTATTTGCAATAAGGCCCATTCCTACGCCAATAAATTTCAACAAGACCAACTCCGAATTTCAATCCTGTTAGCTTCCCGCTTACAAGGCCCAACCAACCCACAGAGCACAACAAAACAAAACTGTTCCTTCTACCTCCTTCCCCCCCCCTCCCTCTCTTCAAGATAAGGCACCCTTTCCCTATCTTCCTCAAACGCCCATCACTTCTCTCACTCAGTCACTCAGTCACTATGCTTTCTCCAACTCTAAACACCCACAAGCCTCTCTTTCTTTCAAGCTCTAACAGCAAACCATTTTCCTCTCCTTTCCTTAGCCAACAACCTCTCTTTATCCTTCATTCGTCAAAAACCCCTTTTAAACCCACCAAAACGCTATCAGTTTCAGCCACTCGTATCCCCTCTTCTCCACCTCCTTCAAATCAACAACTCTACCAACCCTTTAGACCTCCACCTTCTCCTATCCCTTCTCAATACAAGTCTCTTGACGCCCCTTCTCGTCTCGAAATCCTTGCTAATCGTCTTGGCCTTTGGTACGAGTATGCCCCTTTAATCCCTTCTTTATTCCAAGAAGGTTTTACTCCACCATCAATAGAAGAAGCCACTGGTATTTCTGGGGTTGAGCAAAACCGTTTAGTTGTTGGAGCTCAAGTGAGGGATTCTTTAGTTCAGTCTAACACTGACCCAGAAATTGTTGCATCATTTGACCTTGGTGGTGCGGAGTTATTGTATGAAATTCGTCTCCTTAGCGCCACGCAGCGGTCTGCAGCTGCCCGCTATATCGTTCTTAATAAGATGGACGCTAAGGGTGCTCAAGATTTGGCCCGCGCCATGAAGGATTTTCCTCGCAGGCGCGGGGATAAGTACTGGGAGAGCTTTGAGTACGTTCTCCCAGGAGACTGCCTGTCGTTTATGTACTACAGGCAGTCTAGAGAGCATAAGAATCCGTCAGAGTCGCGGACTAATGCTCTACAGATGGCATTAGAGGTTGCAGAGTCTGAAAAAGCGAAAAGTGCGATTTTGAAGGAGTTAGAAGGAGGAGAAAGGAAAGAGAGGGCAGAAGGAGAAACAGCAGATGGGGTTCGGGTTCCGGTTGTGAGGTTGAAGATTGGTGAGGTTGCGGAGGCGAGTAGTGTTGTGGTTTTACCTGTTTGTAGATCAGAGGACGGGGAAAGAAAAATTGTGGAAGCACCATGGGAGTGTAAGGGCCAGGGTGAGTTTGGTGTGGTGGTGGCAGAGAAAGCGTGGGAAAGGTGGGTGGTGTTGCCAGGGTGGGAACCGGTACTTGGGTTGGGTAGAGGGGGAGTGGCGGTGGCTTTTCCAGATGCAAGGATATTACCATGGAAGGCAAATAGGTGGTATAAAGAGGAGTCTATTTTGGTGGTTGCTGATAGGGGGAGCAAGGAAGTGAAAGCAGATGACGGGTTTTATTTGGTTACTCTTGACGGCGCCGGTGGTGATTTCAAGGTTGAAAGGGGTTCGGCGTTGAAGGAAAGGAATGTGGTGGAATGTTTAGGGACTGTGTTGTTGGTGGTTAGGCCACCAAGGTACGAGACCGATGATCAATTGAGTGATGAGGACTGGGAGTGAAATCATAGTGAGTTAGCAACTCTATTTTACTCTTGATTACATGGAGATTAATACACGGTGTTGTATGGTGCTAGTAATGCTTAAGACTTGAACTTGGGATTGATATGGGCATCAATGCCCTATATCAGGTTACTGCAATCCTTTCTATTATCAAAACTAGCAAGCTGCCTTGATACTCTGCTGTGTTATTTGTTAGGAGGCAACTTATTTTTTTGTAGTATTTGTAATTTATGATACATAATGATTTAAGATTCCATTAATCATTCTCCTTTTAGGTTTCCACATCTTGAACGTCCATATTCCATCCTAAAATGATGTGTTAGAGTGGCCGATATATGATGGAAGCCTCCTTGACCCTTAACATTGTGTGTTATCTGTTATTCCCTTTGCTAGCTTGTATTATTTTTCAAAAAGAAGTGATATGAAGTAGAAGATAGCATAACAATGCAATTCTACATGCTTTTCTCAGTATAAGGTGTGCATGTCATGAGCAGCTTAATTCAGAGAATTGTTTCAAGTCATTCTTAGAAAGTTTGTTCTCTGCGATGCCATTTTGATAATACCTTTCATCTGCTTTCATAATTTTGGCCAAGAGGATTGTGAAAATCTGAAGGTATATTGCGCCTTATTCAGGGGCTTCTTTAAAGATTTGGCTGGACCATTAAAGGTTATACAACAACAGCTTATATCTAGTAAAGCATCTGTATGGATGTAAAACAATTTTTCATTTCCTAAATGTCCCATAGCTTTGCAATTCATGCATTTGCAGCCGAGGAGTGCCAGTTTATCTGTTTCATCGTTTTTGAGCTTTGCCTATTTAAAGAAAAAAGAAGAGATGGGAGAGCAAAAAAGTTGTGCTCTTGTGTGCGTACTTTTCAATTACGAGAATAGTTTAAGATGCTCTTGTTGGACATTCTAAAGCTCTGAAGGATCCATTTAGTTGACAAAGTTCAATTTTTTGTGATACAAAGTTCTGGCAGCTGAAATATGGTTCAAGTTTTCAGCTTAGGGTCTTTGTGCTAGCTCTGTTTTTGTCGTAGAGTGGCAGTCAATATCTCTGATGCACACCATGCAATCATTCTGATCTTTAGTTCGATTGGAATTTACAGAGTACTGTAAGAGGCAGATTTGGAGGACAAATGACAGGTAAGCAACTTTATTTAGTTTTTTGACATGCCATGTCGGGAAGGATTTCAATCTTTTTCAGTTCACAGTTCCATGAGTTTATCCTCGTATGCAGTGTAATGTGTTAGTTATCTTCTTGAAATGGACCAAGTAGTTTTCTGTACTACACCCCTCACTGTTTATTCTCCGTTTATTTGCTGAAATATCCTTTATTTTTTACCTTCTCAAATCCCTGCTTTTTACTGAATGTGTTGGGAGCAACTGCAAATCAAAATAACACTGCAATTAGAAAGTTTCAGCCTTATCATCTACGCATGCTTCCTTTCTAATAGTTTGTATGCGTAGGATCAAACGTTTAATGTTGTCATTGCTATGCATCTGGTCTTACTTGGCAGGGTTTTTAATGCTCACACACACACACACACTCGGTCCCACACTTTGTCAGGTTTAATACTTCCAAGCAGTTGTCACTACTGTAGTTTGATATTTGATGGCTGGTTGCTACACAAACATGCATGCATACAAACGTTTGTGTATTTTATGAGCTTCTTGCTTATTATGTGTGATCGTAGCCTTTCTTTTCTTAATTGTGTTTTAAAGGCTTGCCATGATCTCTTGGAAAGGAATACACCAAAAGTAAGAGCAAGGTAATATTTTTTGTGTAATTATAGTTCTATCAGCTGCTTAATCAGGATTACGACAAGCTCTCTAATTATTATTTGCCTAATTAATCACTGCCTCCGCATTGGTGTGTGCAGGCTTGCTGGAAAATTGTCAGCTATTCGAGAACATCGCCCAGCTAGTACTACGTCTGGCTGATAATTCATTTGTCGATTTTGTTCTATATTTTTCGACTTATAAAATAAATGGAGACCATTAACTTCAGTGCTAGCAACTGATATCAACATAAGGTTAGCATGCATAGCTGGACAAACAAAGGGATTTTGTGAGCAACTCAAGCATCAGAAACCAGAACTTCAGACTACGAGGCTTCATCTTGATTTGACTTTGTAGTTTTAATGCGAATTGCAAGAAAACAAAGTCCTTCTGGTGCAGAGGTGATAGAGTGCTTTTTAAAAGCAACAAGCAAATTAAGGTCGACTGCAGTTGGGTCATGTGGTTAAGGGTTAGAGAATTTGTTGTTCCTTTTTGAGTTAGAAGCAAGAAACAAAACAAAAATAAAACAAGGAGCATGACTCCAAAGCAGTTGTTCCCGTGTTGCCGAAGATGCAAGAAAGCCTTTACGAATGTCGAATATTCTATGCTTCAATACAGAATAAAATCAAAAGAAACTGTTCTTGCAGAACTCGAGGACATGAACCAGAGGTGCTCGCAATGAAAACAAGGTAAAGCAGAAAATATTAGGAATGCTTAATTCAACATAAAAATCCCTTCCTCTTCATTCTAATAAATAAAAAAGAAACTTATCCATGTACTCTTACATACTACATATTTTATCAATAACATATTTTTATAAAGCAAAGGAATATATAAGAACATGTTCCTGGGTTTCCTCAAAATCAAAGAATAAAGTTTCCAATGTCCAATTCAAATGTTTGCCTTGAGATTTCTTAGATTAAATATTCTCAGCTTGTGAAACGAAAAGGCGAGCTTCATTGTCTGAGAAAAGGTCACTTGATTGGCCGTGTGGGTTTGAGAGTATTTTTCTAAAAATCATAGAATTGTATGTAAAAAAATAAAAAGGAATAGAGAAGAGAGAAGAATTGTAAAGAGAGGGAAAGGTAGGGTGAAAAGGGGGGTTGATGGATGATATTTGTGTGGCTGAAAAGAAAAAACATGCAAGGTGACCACCTTACATGACAACTTCACAAGGATGCCCAGAAGAAAACGGGCTAAATCATGGAAATGCCGCTGGTGTCCAAGCCTACTTCCCTCCTCCTCCCTCTCACATTTCAAAAACTCAAACAACGCATTACTCCACCTTCCACCTTCTCCAAAACCCCACAAAACCCATCACCGCAACATCAAAACAAACACCAAAAGCATCCATCTTTCACTCCTAATAACCACCTCTGTCTTGACCAAACCCAGCAGCTCCATGCCCACATAATCAGAACCCACTTCAATCACGCCCAACAAGTTTCTTTTAGCCCCTTCGAATTACACTTAAGCCTTGAAGCCCGGTACAATCTCCTTATAACATCATACATTAAAAACAACAAGCCAAGATATGCACTGAACACCTATACATACATGAGAAAACTTGACATAGAAGTTGACAGTTTCATTATACCATCAGTTCTTAAAGCTTGCAGCCAGATCTCAGTAGCCCAGATGGGGAAAGAGATTCATGGTTTTTCTGTTAAGAATGGATTGGTTAGTGATGTTTTTGTAGTCAATGCATTGATGCAAATGTACTCAGAATGTGGTAGTTTAGTTTCGGCACGATTCCTGTTCGATAAAATGAGTGAGAGAGATGTTGTTTCGTGGAGTACGATGATTAGAGCTTACAGTAGAAGCAAATTGTTCAATGAAGGGTTGAAAATTATTGAAAATATGCGTTTTTCGAATGTTAAGCCTAGTGAAGTTGCTATGATTAGCATGGTTAATCTATTTTCTGACCTTGAGAATGTTGAAATGGGGAAAGCAATGCATGGTTATGTTATAAGGAATAGCAATAGTGAGAAAATGGTTGTGCCTTTGACTACTTGTTTGATTGACATGTATGCAAAGTGTGGAAATTTAGATGCTGCAACAACACTCTTTGATGGTTTTAGTCAAAGAAGCATTGTTTCATGGACTGCCATGATTGCTGGCTACATTAGGTGCAAAGATTTGGAAGAGGGTGAAAGATTATTCGTTAGAATGATTGAAGAAAATGTGTTTCCTAATGATATCACCATGTTGAGTTTGATTATTCCATGTGGATTTGTAGGGGCCGTACAATTGGGCAAGCGGCTACATGCCTACATTTTAAGAAATGGGTTTGGAATGTCTTTGGCTTTAGCCACTGCTTTGGTTGACATGTATGGAAAATGTGGCGAGACAAGAAGTGCAAGAGCTATATTTGATAGCATGAAGATCAAAGATGTTATGACTTGGACAGCTATGATTTCGGCTTATGCACAAGCTAATTGTATAGATTATGCTTTTCAACTATTTGCCCAGATGATGGATAACGGAGTGAGGCCAAATGAATTGACAATGGTAAGCCTGCTTTCGTTATGTGCAGAAAATGGAGCCCTTGACATGGGCAAGTGGTTTCATGCTTACATAGACAAGCAAGGTGTTGAAGTAGATGTGATACTTAAAACTGCTTTAATAGACATGTATGCCAAGTGTGGGGATATTAGTGGGGCTCAGAGGCTGTTCAGCGAAGCCATAGATCGAGACATCTGCACATGGAATGTAATGATGGCTGGATACGGGATGCATGGATATGGTGAGAAAGCTTTGAAACTATTCACAGAGATGGAGACACTGGGTGTAAAACCCAATGACATCACATTTATAGGAGTTCTGCATGCTTGCAGTCACGCTGGTTTGGTGATGGAAGGAAAAGGACTTTTTGAGAAAATGATCCATGACTATGGCTTGGTTCCAAAGGTTGAGCATTATGGGTGTATGGTTGATCTTCTTGGTCGAGCTGGACTGCTTGATGAGGCCTATAAGATGATTGAAAGCATGCCCGTGAAACCTAATATTGCAATATGGGGTGCTATGCTTGCTGCTTGCAAGATTCATAAAAATTCTAACATGGGGGAATTAGCAGCGGGAGAGCTTCTTGCATTGGAACCTCAAAATTGTGGTTACAAGGTTCTCATGTCAAATATTTATGCTGCAGCAAACAGATGGAATGATGTTGCAGGCATGAGAAAAGCTGTGAAGGATACAGGAATAAAAAAGGAACCGGGCATGAGCTCAATCGAAGTAAATGGTTTAGTTCACGATTTTAAAATGGGAGATACAGCACACCCTCTGATTGAAAAAATCAGTGAAATGCTAGCTGAGATGAGCAAGAAATTAAAAGAGGCTGGCTACTTGCCAGACACATCTGTAGTCCTGCACAATATTGACGAGGAAGAGAAAGAAACTGCACTTAACTACCATAGCGAGAAGTTGGCGATGGCTTTCGGTCTCATCAGTACTGCTCCAGGGACTCCTATTCGAGTTGTTAAGAATCTCCGAATTTGTGATGACTGCCATACAGTAACCAAGCTGTTGTCTAAGATCTACAAAAGGGTAATTATAGTCAGGGACCGTAACCGTTTTCACCATTTTAGAGAAGGATCTTGTTCTTGTGGTGGTTATTGGTAACGATACCAATAAAGTTCCCGTATTATTATTATAAATCGTTTATGTACAGGCAGATAATTACATTGAAAGCTATGTTCAAGCTCTATCAAATGTCCAACTGGGAAAAGATGTCTGTTTGAACCAGCAGCATCCTAACCTTCTCTTGATCTGAAATTTAGGATCCTATATAAGACCGTCTTGAACTCTCGATTAGCATTGTTAATATGTAGTTCTTTCATTACGTCACTACAAAGAAGCAAGGAAATATTGAAATATTTGCAGTACTGCAAGTGTGATGTAGCTAGAGACTGTAACATTGGAAAATGACCTTTCCTAGATTGGGGCAACAAAACCTCATTTCCTTGAGGAATTTCCCGCGAGTTTCTCTCTGTTTTCTAACTGTTGGGCACCTCCAACCCGCTCTCGAGTGTTGTAAATTATAAAGCAGGTTTTGAACCAAATAGGTTCCAATTGTCAATTGGCTTTTTATATGCTCAAGGATGGTAGCAAAGATGACATCTATTAGTGCTTGATATGGTTATCTGAAGATGCTATATTTGCAATACCTTCAAGCTTACGATGCAATAAATGCAAGTGCATATTAGTTTATAATCACATAAAGGTAATTTCTTGACGATTTACATACTTTCTTTTGTTAAAATTGTACTTAGTTGTTAGTGATTATTATAATTATGAAAAAATTAGAAACCTTCTTAGTACATAAAATGAATTTGTTTAACAGTTCATAATCTAACATGTATGAATTCAGGTGTCGCTTATTTTCTATTCAATTTTACTATAATATTCAGGAAGTAGCAGAATTATGTAAAAATGAATTAACTAACTGATTAGATAGATAAATTATTGTGAGAAGTAACCATTGTTGCCATATCTCACAACAAGGGTTGGTAAATCAAGTACAAGAGGGTTTCGTACTTTGGTGCTGATTGTCAACAACAAAACCACAGAGATTCTAATGCGAATTTTAGGCAACAGGCCAGAGAAGGCAAACGCGACAACACAAGTTCCACATGTTAATGGTATTCCTGAAAATGTGTAACAATACATGTTAGATTTAGACAACCAGAATTTCGAACAGATCCAATTTGCTTCACGGTTCAGCTGTCACTGCAAATGCTGGGTTACAATGCAGCAGACTAACTGCTAACCAAGCCACTGTGAGGCACGACGATCCCCACTGCCACCAACAGAGTGCCGAATACTGATTTTCTCACCAGCGTACTTCTGTTGAAGCCATTCAAAACCATTCACATCAAGTTTCCCATTTACTGATTTCCCTTGCTTTCTCCGTGTTTGCTGCTCCCGTATGGAAGCCCAAAGTTTCTGAATGGCATCCCTTTGGCAAGATGTGAACCTTGCGACATTATCAAAGGCATGCTTTACCAAAATGTCTATCACTGTTTGGCACCTGACATGAAAAAGTTTCGAGCTTTTCAATAAAAAATACTACATGATTATCACTCGCAGTGCAGAAAAGTATTTGACATCTCGAAGTGTGTGTGCAGTATGTGCAGAAAAGGTGAATATTTGTACCATGGTGTTTTGTAACGCCGAGCAGCTATCTCTAAACAGGTAATCAAGGCCTCTCGCTGGTACTTGAGGAATCTCTTACTCTCTACTTCCTCTTCCTCCCTCACCTTGGCTGGCATATCTTTCTTCCCCTTTACCTTCTCATCTTTCTTCACTGTGCTTGGAATCAGAGCATCAAGCCCAAACGGATCAGACACATCTTTATTCTCTTTAGCTTCAGCACTTGAACATGCATTTTCTCTTTTACTATATTCATCAGTTGTCGCTGGCTTATCGATTAGTGATGCAGCCTCCTCTATGTCATCATCCTTGGTTGCAACAGGAAGATCAGCAATGGCATCTTTTACCTGTCCAGCTGTCTTTGAAAACTATATAAAGGTCCACAAAATACAGCATATATCAGACGAGTTACAATGTCTGAAGTAACATCTTTAAGTTAGCATACTCTTAGATCACTGAAAAAAAATGTTATCACACTTGTCAGTCATTTTAATTCTCAGTCTATGTTTTACTTGAAAGACCAGATCATTAACAGAACATTCATCTCAAAAAGTTCAAAATCAAACAGAAAAATAACAAAAAAAAGTTAACCAAAGACCATGATGAAAACAGATCAGGCAGTATAATAAATTAGACATGACCAATCAAATCAGAGAGGTTGATATCATAGCGAAGTATATTTATACAAGATGTTCCACTAATCAGCCAATAAAAAAACAAACTGCAAGAAAAATATATATTCTACTGTATTTTAGGAAGCACCATTTGGTTGCAACAGTCACATCCACATCCAAACACCACTTTACCAACTAAATTATCAACTATATTACATTAAATTTCAACTATGCCCATCATTGACTTTGAATGTATTACTCATTTTCTTTGGTACTTTTAATGGATAAAATTAAAGCAAAAGAGATCCTGGTTATGTCATCAATAACATTCTAAGCTTGAACAGCATATCTACCCAACATTTCCATTCCTCAATTAAGTTTCTGACATTAAAGAAATTTACGGAGTTTCTCCAATAATTTGAACCCACAAGACCATGTTACAGCAGTAACTGCCCATCCCAGTGGCATCTGTAGGAGGATAGCTTAATGTCCTTGCTGTAGTTTCTCTGTCTTGTCTTAATAGTACATATTGTTTTACCAGGATAAGAAAATGTCGTTCAAAATTAAGGAGGACAGGAACATGCTACTAGGATCAAATGTATTCTTTCTTCAATCTGTTCAAGCTGATAGATGCAGCCAAGGAAAAAGAAATCTAGGAGCTATTTTCATCTGATTCTTCTTTTGAATTAGATGAAATTCTCATGAGATTAATCTATAAAAAATTGATAGGAGGTGGTGGGTCCATGAAGTTGATCGTTAATATTACATTATGGCTTAATTTAAGTGAGTTTCTTGTGTGTGGTCTGCATTGAATGCTCAATGGAGAAAAGCTTTATATGTTTGACTATTCTAGAATTTTCTGAAAGTTTTAAGAGTCTTGTGCTTTTATTTATAAAATCTGAGCTAGTCTTTCATATTTTCTAGTATTTCAAGGTTCATTATGAGTTTCCTTACATATGATAACCAAACGAAGGACAAGAAAATATAGTACAAGGTCCTCATGAATATCTACTTGATGGAAAATAAATCTACAATGCCTTACCCAACTAATGATGGTAGGCAACAAGAATCAGCTTCAACCACTGTGGTCCATAGCTTTTACAACCCAACAACAATCTATATGAAATATCAATGGTCAAGACCGAAAAAATTAATAAGATTAGGGTATCCCACTCATCAGAAACATCACCAAATAGTTTTAAATTAAAACTTACACACAGGTGAAACCACACTTATATTTGGCTGCATTTTACATATTACATTTCTTTTTCCATCCTTCCAAAAATAACAATTATTTTGTTGATACCAATTATCCTATATCTTCTAGTAGCTGATTATTCAGTAAATTCAATCTCATAACAATTAATCACTGCCATTCTTTTTTTCGAGAAAAAAAATAATGATTTTGAAGTGCAAGCAATTGGCCGCGCACAAAAAAAAATAAAATCCCTAATTGAATCCTTAATGATTGATGATACTCACACATGATTGATTTCATTGAGTGAATGTTATTTTACAGTCCTAACACTTCCACAGCTAACAAGTATATTGACTACTAGTGATACAGAATGCAAGGAGAAGTGAGCTAAAACAAATGAATGCAAAATAAACTACAGTTGATTGAAATTGCAGATAACCAAAATCATATATGAACATTTTGATGATTTTCATATCCAATATCCTAAATACTAGCAAAGCAAACATGAAAGCAAGAACTAGCCAGAAATTAGCAAAGCACAAATGAATGTCAAAAACTATTGCAGACTGTCACACACTCCATACTGTGACATATAAAGATGGATTTTGAAGTAAGGATTCAGAGATGTTAAAAAGAAAATGCCATGATAGAAGTAAAGCGCATACCAAAAAGCTGTCATCAGTGAAGAAGTCATTTGCTAACACTGCCCTAACTGTCCATGTAGCTAATTGGTTCTTCTGTTTCTTATTGAGGCACTGCAATAGGACAATATGGTAAGACCCAAAGGAGACATTTTCTTCTTCTAAAAATATACTATGATGCTACGTACTTACTTCAGCTGCATCCTGAGCTGCTGAGAACAAGGCATGATAATCTGCCCGCACAGAAGGATCTGTGCAGGAAGTGGTTGAGGACATGGCAGCCTCAAGTATGGCAAAGAAGTGGTCACTAGTTCCTGGTTTTACACTTCCAGCCTGAATCAGCTGTATGGCAAGCTTTGAAGCCTTAGAAAACTTAGTTGGAGTCTTGATATGCGATGCTATCTTCTTCATGGCCTCTATAACTTGCGTCTCTGAGGCATCTGTTGTTGTTTTAAACCTCAACCGCCTTCCAGATGCAGTGGTCTTTTCAGCTGCAACATCTGTTAGTTGTAATGGGACATTTAGCTTCTATAGAGCAAATAATAGGATACATAAAATAAAACTTCTATTTGAAAGGATGTGTTAGGAAAACTCCAAATCATATCAAAGTCCAGAATCTACGCAAGATATATGGAGTGAAAGAAACCCTAATAGTCTTTCAGAAATAAATTCAGAACTGGCAGTGGCAATAATATCATCAGAAAGAAATCCTTTATGATCACAAAGAAACTAAACCCTCCATTACAAACACTAATGCAAGCAGTACTTGAAGTATCCCTGACATTTCAGATCCACTTAAAATAAATTAATAAAAAGAAACCAAACTTTTTATTATGGGAAACACTCTATTTTCAAATAAGAACAAATGTCATTACATGATCACAAAGAGCACAAGGTACACTTCCATAGACATTCTTGAAGCAAAATTCTTTCCTTCCAGTGGTTTAGACTCAAGTAAAAACTAAAAATAAAAACCCAAAACTTCAAACCTTGAAAATAAATTGAAAAACCCAAAAACTATTACCAAAGATATATGCATAAAAAGAACAAAATCTAGAAAGAAAAAGAAAGGTATGGAAGTTTACCTTCTGGGTCTGGTTTGGCTTCCACTGGTTTAGGGCGCTTGAGGGCACTTTTCAAAGCTGGTTTTGGTGGAGCTGGCACTGTAGATGGTTCTCTTTTAGTTGTTTTTGAAGTATCGTTAGCTTCTGCTTCTTGGTTTTGTTGCTGATGAGAAGGTGGTGGCAAGCCTTCAAATAAACTATCACCCATTTAGATTTGCAATTTATTACAATTGATGAGCAAGAGGATTCTCCCCACTCCCTCTCTCTCCCTCTCTCTCTATCTTGTGATCAGAACTCAAAAGTTTTAAGCCCTTATGGTTTTTTAATGACTGAGGAAGACGATGATGGATGGATGCTGCTTTTAATGGGCCAAGTTAAAGTTAGTGATTGAAGCCTAATTGCTGTGGTTGAAGAACCCAGTATGATTCAGTACTCAACTTCGATCATTTGGGTAACTCTGTCATAGTCCATTAATTAGAAACAAGTTTGGGCTTAATCACCCAATTTGTTTAAGTTGATTAAACTCAGATAAATTTTATGTGTTTTATGGATATAATTGGGTCTAAGTAATTATATACAACTGATATTTTATAAATTATAAACTTCACTTATTTAATTTTTTTAAAATCAAGTGGGTTTAATATATTAAGTTGAACTAAATTTTTTGTGAATATTACATATATGTATGAGTTGAGTTTATATTACTAATTTTTATGAGTTAATATTTAAAAGCAAATCTAAAGTATTGTAGATGCTATAAAATCATTAATCTTAAATTTAATTTTCATTATTAAATTTTAGTTACCTCTCATCTCCCTTCCAGTAAAGGAACAAGGTTTTTTTATTACATTAAAGAAATCTAACAGAAAACCCACTAAAAACAATTTGCAATCAATTTTTTTAAATAAAATAAAAATGAATGCTCAATTTATAAATTATCAAATATAAAGACAAAATAAGTATAAGATATACGAGTTGGGTTAAATTAATTCGGTTTAAAAAATCTCAACCCATTACCCGATTCATGATATCTATTTTTTAGATTTTTTAACCCATTATCATTTGTAATATTCATAGTATTGATTTTTGCAAGTTGAGTTTGGTCTAATAATAAAAATATTATATATAAATTAAGTTTTTTGAATACCCTTACCTAAATTATATGTAGGGTAAAATACAATGAGTTTTCAAATTCTAGGATTTAAGTTAATTTATAAAATTTGGATGAAAGCATTTTCCCAAATCCCTTAAGATTTGGTTAATTGAAGTTCTTTTTCACTTGTTATTTGTGAATTTAATTTAAAATAAATTACTTATATGGAAAGGTAAAAAGCTTTTTTATTTCTGATTGTTATTGTAATTTTTACTCAATCAAGGAGTAATTAAAAATAAATAATTTTGTATTTTATTTTTGATAAAATGCTCTTTCTTCCTATCACTTGTATATTATTTTTGATAAAATGCACTTTCTTCCTATCACTTGACTAGCATATTTAACTGATTTTTCTTAATGAATCATTCATCATTCAAATTAATAATAATTTTTATAAAGTTAACCTTTAACATAACATATGTGTTTAAATAATGTATTTTAGATTGACACATCAACATATATATATATATATAGCAAACTTATAATTGATAACAAAAACGATCATAACATACATACTAATCATACAATATATCTTTGTATAAATTAAAATAAAAACAAAGAAAATTACTTACTTGTTGGAGCACTTTATTTTTTATCAAGTTTTATTGTTGTTAGTGATCAATTCTTTATCATTAAAACTTTATTACTTCTTATTTGATGCAAAAAGACTTTCTTTAATAAACCTCCTAGGATTTTAATAACACCATCTTACTTCTCATTTGGTGCAAAAAGACTTTCTTTAATAAACTTCCTAGGATTTTAATAACACCGTCTTATTTAGAAGCATTTATGAAAAAATTACAACAACCTAAGAACAAAATACTCAAGTATCCCTCTATAAAGTTTATTAGAAAATTTTTTGAGAGGAAATAATGGTTTTAAACTAGAAGAACGATGCTAAAAAAATAAATGAAGAAAGAGT